CGCGTAGCCTCAGCTTGAAATTTTACTTACAAATTATCAAAATTTCTACATCGCTATGGCGATAAATTATAAAATTCTTTAATGATTGCCCTTTAGAGAATAGGTGGGCAATATAAAAACTAAACTCCGCTAGTGATTAGTAATCATTAATAGATATTTATCGGAGTTGCTGAGTTTGCGGAGTTTGCCCACCTATTCCTTAATATCTTTATTTGATTGCTTATTTTCACATTTGGCCATTATAGTTTCAACTTGTGACTATTAACTAAGTTCTAATTTGATGGTTCTTGCTTGTAATTAACGAAATTAAGCTTATAATATTAAAATGTATGCTTATAACAAATTTTGTATCGTCTTTTTTTTTTTGAAAACATTATTGACTTATTATTATTTAACTAATAATTTTATTTTGATGTATCCAGGTAAAAAATATACGGTTAGTTGCTGCGCCGTGATCATATGGATAATAAATTCAAAAGCGCCACAATGAAAATCTGGTTACACGAGATTAGCCTTATATAACGATAATGATAAAAAAATTTTTTTTAAAATACTGCGTTGTTAAACAAACGTTCGTAGGTAGATCTACAAAATGTCTAAGGAGGTAAGTCTAATAATCAACGTTTTAGGCGGTTAGGATAGCAATACTTATTATTTTATACACTTTAAATTATAGGAATTTGTTGGATCACGATTTTTCACAGGTGGATCAGACACCGAGACAGAGGAAGAAATTATTTCCTCGGAAGAAGACTTAAGTGATGAAGGGAGTGAAGATATAGTATCTGAGGATCACAGTGAAGAAGAAGAAGAAGTAGTAAAGAAACAAACTTCAAAATTTCTTAGAGATGCTGCCTCGGATGAAAATGATTCTGAAGATGAAGGAAAGCGGCAGGTCAGATCTGCCAAAGATAAAAGGTTGGAAGCACTTGAAGCATGTATAAAAGCAATTGAGAATGCGGAAAAAATTAATGACTGGGTCGTGATTCAAAATGGTATGTTTGTGAATTGAATTTTTGTTAAATTGATTCTTTTGGTCTGCAATATTGAAGAACAAGCATTAATGTATATTTATCTTTAAGAATTTGACAAATTAAATAAGATAATAAGCAAGGATCCTCTCAAAATTCCGCGTTTATATATCAAAACAATTGCATCACTTGAAGACTTCTTAAGTGAGGCTTTGCAAAAGGAAAAAGAGTCAAAGAAAAAAATGAATGCAATACAAGCAAAAGCCTTAAATTCGATGAAACAAAAGATCAAAAAGAATAATCGATTATATGAAGAAGATATTGAAAAATGGCGACAGGTTAAAGTCGAAAATTTCATGTAATTAATTTTGATAAATCACAGTTATACGAATTTATTTTAACATATATAGAATCCTGTTGATGAGCCCACAGATGAAAGTGGGTATGAAGAAGATGTAGTGAAACATAAATCTAGGAAACCCGCTGTTGATGATGAGGAGGATGATATATCAGCCTCTCAAGATAATGATTTTATTCCAGTAGGAGGCAAGATTATAGAATATACATCTGATAACTTGTTTAAAAAGTTGAAAGAAATAATGGAAGCGAGGGGAAAAAAGGTAAATTATAAGATCCTTTTTCGTTTAATGACAATTGTTTTTGACATAAAACCAATCATATCCGATAATCAAGAATACCGACCGCTTGGAGCAAATCAAAGTTCTTCAAAAACTATTGGAGGTTGCTGCAACACCGTATCAAAAAATTCGTGTATTGATTGCTTTAATACCCGCTCAATTCGATTATAATCCCAGCATGAGTAATTATATGAATGTTGATATGTGGAAAAGGTGTATTTCAAATAATCACAATTTATTTCATATTTTAAAAACCGCAAAATTAATCAAATAATATTTTGGATATTCATATAGTACACAGAAAGAGATCAATCAACTTTTAACAATTCTCGAAACTAATCCTCAATTTATGATTTATGAATTTATGGAAGAGGATATTGATGATAAAGAACCAGTGATTGAGCCTGATCAATTATTTGGTATACGTGGTTCAATTGTTTCTTTCATCGATCGTCTAGATGATGAGTTCACAAAATCATTACAAAATATCGATCCACATACTACTGATTATGTGGATAGATTGAAAGATGAAACAGACCTGTATGACACTATTGTAAGAGGTCAAATGTATTTTGAAAAGAATGAATTAAATGAGAGTACAAGCCGAGTCGTTATGAGAAGGTTAGAACATTTATATTACAAGGTAATACAAAATTTCACCATTTATTTATTTTATTTTTTCAAGAATTTTTGATTAATGAGTTTACATGTAATTTTCTAAAGCCTGATCAAGTAATACAAACAGTAGAAAATACGGTTCAACAGTTATATCCAGCAGGTCTTAATTCAAAAATAACTTCACATACAACCGGCTTCGATCCTACAGATTTAATTCACTCGCTTTGTGTTTACCTCTACAAGAATGGAGAATCTTTGCTACGTACACGTGCTATGCTTTGCCATATTTATCACCATGCGTTACACAATCGCTTTTATGTTGCGAGGGATATGCTTTTGATGTCACATTTGCAAGATAATATTCATCAAAGCGATGTAGGAACCCAAATTTTGCATAATCGTACCATGGTGCAAGTTGGGCTTTGTGCTTTCCGAGAAGGAATGATCAAAGAAGCTCAAAGTTGTTTACAAGAAATTTGTGGGACTGGTCGTACGAAAGAATTATTGGCACAGGTAAAGATTAAGTTATTTAAATGAACCTTTTATATAATAAACTTTTATAATAACTTTTTTTGTCAAAATAACTTTATATTTTATATAGGGTCTACAATTGCAAAGATATACACAACTTCCAGCAGAACAAGAAAAATTAGATCGTCAACGTCAATTACCATTCCACATGCATATTAATTTGGAATTACTAGAATGTGCTTATTTAACATGCTCCATGCTTTTAGAAATACCCAGCATGGCAGCTGCAGGATCAAACCCTGAAGCACGTAAAAAAGTTATTAGTAAACCTTTTAGAAGGATGTTAGATTATAATGAAAGACAAGTTTTTAGCGGTAAGCATTTTATTTTTAAATTCATTATTAATTTTATTTATTAATTTTATAATATCGATAATATCGATATATCGATGCTTATACTATATTTATTTTAACAAGGACCCCCTGAAAATACGCGGGATCACATTATGGGCGCAGCAAAGGCACTTGCCGCAGGTGAATGGAAAAAATGTCAAGAACTTATAGGAGCCATTAAAATTTGGGACTTGATGCCAGAAACCCAAAAGATAAAAGAAATGCTGAATAGGAAAATTCAAGAAGAAGGCCTTCGCACATATCTGTTCACATATTCAGCATATTACGAAACGATAGGACTTGAACAATTAGCTACAATGTTTTCTTTGCCTATAAATGCAGTCACCGCTATAATTTCAAAAATGATTTGGAATGAAGAATTGGTCGCATCACTAGATCAGGTCGATAATGTTGTCGTATTACACCGAGTTGAACCAACAAAGGTTCAACAGTTGGCTTTATCGTTTGCCGAAAAGGCAGCATCTTTTGTAGAAGCAAATGAAAGAACATTGGAATTGAAACAAGCAGCGGGACAAAATCAAAGAGATCAACAAAGGCAAAAAGGCAAGTAGAAAAATACATAATAATCATTTATTCTTATGGTTAGATCTTTTATAACATTTTTAATTTTTTAATTTTTTAATTTTTAATTTTCTTGGATTCAACAGGACAGCTCAATCAGCAACAAAATATCGAAAAACGAACGACCTATCAAAAGAGAGATGGACAACAACAACGGTCTCGAAATAATTTTAATAATGTTTTAGGTAATAGTGTACGAGGAAGGACACAACAAAATCGATATAGGTCATAAATTAAGTATATAAGTATATAAGTATATAAAGTGATGGAAAACACTATTGTAAATGAAAAAAAATGAGTGTATAAATAACATTGTATATCAACTGGTATCAGCTGGAAACATAATTTTTTTGGAATCTGAGGTTTTTATTATCTTACGAGTAATAAAAAAAAAACAAAAGGTCAATTTTTAATTTTGGAAAACATGAATTATGCGGCAAAAATTTAAATAAAAGATAATAACAGTTTTCACAGTATTTGCAGTATTCAAGGTATTGCGTAATCGTAAATTAGTCTTTGTTATATATTAAATACAAGCAATACAAGATGAATGCGTTAAACTAATTAAATTAATAAAATTTTAACAATTAAATAAACATGGTAATTGTTTAATGTTTGATCGACTTTCTCAATAACCGGGTAACAAAAAAAACGATGACCATGTTAAGTGTTAAGTGTTAAGCATTGGCACAAAAATGGTATAAAAGTATTTAAAAAATAATTAAGTAAGCGAGACAATTATGTATTTAATGAAATATTTACGAAATCGATTATAATAAAACATTGTTGACAGAAAAACATTTACTGATCGGTAACCAGTAATAGAAATAATGAAACCATGAGGATTGGTTTATTTTGGTCTATATGTAACATATTTCACGGGTGGACAAATTTAAAAAATTAAATTCTCGTATATATAGCTTAAATTTGAACTAATCCTAGCGTTAGCAGTTAAGAGCTTGCCTACCGTAATGGGCATTGAAAAAAATATTTTATCTGTTACATTGCGCAAGTACTGTACGTACATACGTACGTATGCAGAATGAACCACGTGACTAATGTTAATATAAAAAAACCATACCTATTACTACTGTACTTACTGTACTTTAGTTACTATAGACCAAATATCAATTACACCTTTAATACTTTGTTTAGTAACTTTGAAAGGTCCTAAAAATAAATAAGTAGGTAACTAAACACATATGCATTGAATTACGTAGCTAGCCTTCGCAGTTGAATGAGAATATTAGAACTTTAACGCTAATCCTAATTAATGAACGATAGAATTCGCATTTTTCTTCCAAGACATATTTATTTCTTATTTACTTTACCTAAAAAAATAAAGCTGAAGATTGGATTGATTACCAATGCATACAAAGAACACAACGAAAGATTCACATGTGTAATTATCTAAAAAATTAAGCATAACTATAAAAAAAACAAAAATAAGTAATATTTGATGAAACTCTGCGATATTTTTTTGTACATAAAATAAATAAATATATAAAATTATTTGAAGTTCTATAAATCTATAATTTGACCCATGCCTATCGCTATGATATGAAAAACGTAGAGACTGATTGTTATTTTATAGGTAAAAAAAGCTATATCACAGTGATCAGCAGAAACAATTATATCGCATACAGGTACATTAAACAATATAAAAAAAAATTATTTTTTTTATTTCTGCATACATGCAATAATTACTTTAAAAAAAATATAATATAAAAAAAATTTTTAAAATAATTATAATAAACGGTTTCTCTATCATGTCAATCTGTTTGATATAAAAATGGCCAAATTCGTTTACTTTTTCACTTTCCGTAGCTAGCAATAACACTATCATTCAAAAAAAAGAAAGTAAATAGACTAACAGTTTATGGGACCCCTTAAAGCCTTTGATATTACTTTGATATATACATATTTTATTACTATATAAAAATTAAATATATATAAACAACCATTAATTTCGATTCTTTTCGGTTCTTCGTCTCGAGACAACCAAAAATATACTGTATATTTTTTTTCTTTTCTCTCTTGTGCCATAATTTATTTCTTTAGCCTCTTTTATGCTGCCACCTTTCCCCTACCACGGCTTATTACCTTTAATTTCTTAAAGAATTTCCCTTTATATGTATCTTAAAAAAAATTATCGCAAAATGAATAGCGATAAAAAATCTTCGAATCTTCCGTATTCAACTACACAACGGATGCCTTCTTCAAGGACTTCGACCGCTGCTACTACGATCTCTTCAACAAAAAGTTCTGAAACAGCTTCAAAGTCCTCGTCTACCCTTCGGGTTATTAATCAAGATGAACTTCGTAGTCTATTCGAACAACGAAAGGGATCTCAATACTTCATTCCTGATGGATACGAACCTATTTTAATTCCACGCGATTCTCAACTACAACCTGTGGCAACTCTTTTACAAAATAATAAAGGCTTACAACAACAACGTTCTCTACAAAAACAACATTTAAAAATTCAACAAGTCAACCAAAATTCGGCAGCGCCGGGTGTAGTCGTTGTTAATAAAACTTTAACTCAACTAGTTTCTCCTATAAATTGTAATATGAGTTCTATTACACCCGACGTTAGGTTTCCTCATTTAGTGTTGGCTCGTGCTTCAACACCGACTCCGCGGGGCGGAGCGGTTACTAAAGCAACTAAGCCTAAGAAACCTCCAAGACCTCCAAACGCATTTATCCTTTATAGGCGTTCTAAACAACAAGCTATAGTTGCTGCAAATGAAGGAATTTCAAATAATGAAGTGTCAAAACAAGTTGGGGAAATGTGGCACAAAGAACCCCTTGAAGAGAAAATGAAGTTTCAACGACAAGCCGACGCGGCAAAATTGGAACATATGCGTAAATATCCTGAATATAAATATCGTCCAAGAAGACCTCATGAAAAACGTCGTCGAACAAAGAGGTCAAGCGTTAATAATAATAACAATAATAATAATAATACTGTTAATAATAATAATGGAACGACGACTAACAACGTAGCTACAAATAACATAAATAAATCCGAAAATAATAATTTAAACGTATCTAATCCTTTAACGACAAATGATGATTTTCAACATCAATTAAATCAATCGATCGATCAAAATACTCCAACAGATACCATAAATACTGTTGATACTGGATTTGAATATTATGAAGATGAATCTCGTCGAAATTCAATACTATCAGCTCAAGATATAAACGAAATTGATTATGAAGAATTTAATTATGATCAAATGTCAGTTTATGAAAATGTATCTAATATGGTAGAAGAACCTAATCAAACTCAATACACAATAAATTCATGTTCTCAATCAACATCACCAAACGAATACGTACGTGTCGATACCACAACTTCTTTTGACTTTATGATGGAAGGTGTTTCACCTGATTCTGAATCTGATTCAACCTCGTTCGGATTCTTTGAATACGGGTATCAATCGCATCCCAACGAATCTTTTGATTATTTGCAGTTCAACCCATACGATTTTATGATTCAATCAAATATTGATTCTTAATAATTCATATCTGATATACAATTCACATTATTTAGACATTTTTTATTTCCTTTTAATACTTGATTTTTTTTTTTTATACATAGTGTGATGTCTAGATAAGTGTCAGGGGAGTTCTAATCGGGACGGCAAAATAATAAAATTAGGGACGCGATTTCCTCTTAATACGACAATCCTTGCAATTTTTTATTACGGATATTTCCCCCCTCAAAAAAAAAAACAAAAAAAAAAAACAAAAAAAAGAAAAAACTCTATCAATCCTTTCAAAAGTATAAAAATCCTTTTCTTTCTTTAGGGGAATTGGTTTTATTATTATCATTTATTATTTTTTTTTCTTCTTCTTTATTTTATTATTACTTTATTTTTTATTTTTTTTACCAAATTTTTCTTGGGTTGGTAATTAATTTTTTGTTCAAATCTAAAACTATAAAACAAAAGGCACTAGGGAAGTCCGTATTTGTATTTGCAATAGGGTTTATTTTATATATATAATTATACCTTTATTACACCTTTATTTTTTTTCTATCTTTTCATAAAATAAAAAGAATAGGAAATTTATGTACATAACAATTTACCTGTAAAAAAAATAACAACATCAAAGTACTTTAAACTTATCAAATGTAAGCATCTCTTCGAAGGAACTTTGAACATTCTTTTATGTTCCATTTCTAGTCAAATCAATTTTTTTCTCTGAATTTCTTTTTTTTTTTTTTTTTTGATTATCCTTTTTTTATTATTAATTATATTACGATCTTTTATGATAATTGCCGGCATAAAGTTTTTTATATAAGTATACATCGTAATTACAATATTATAAATAAAGGACACGGTCTTTTTTTTTTCTCCGAATATACAATATAATGAATAATAATAACGATAATAATAATATTATTAATAATAATAAAATAGATATACTGTATATACAGTATATATATATATATTATACGTACAGAGTTGTGCATGCATTACTGGTTCATTGTAGGTAACAAATAATAAAGTTTTTCACAAAAGATGATTAAAAAAAAATTTTCTTGTGGATACAACAAGTTTGGCAATTGATTTAGTTGCATATCAATTTTAAAATACAGTTAAACCCGTTATCGTTATACTATCGAAAGGTTAATTTCTTTGACATCTTGGATCAAATAAATGCTAAGCGTCAATTTTTATTGACTCATGTAATATAAACATTTTCAGTTCACTAAACCTTTTTTTTGTATTTGTTTTATCTATTTGATCAAGATTACTTTTGGTTAGTATATGCGGTTGTTTTTTTAGACAACATACGGTTAGTTGATTAGTTGAATTGAGACAGTTACTATAGTATTATGAAGAACTTTATTTTTATTTAATATATTTTTATTTAATAAAATGCATCACCAATAGTTCATATGCTGTTCATATACTGTTCATATACTGTTCATATCGTGATAATTGGCATTATACTGCTACTACTACTACTAGCA